GTTTGTTGATACCAGGGATCAAATTCTTGACCTTGTGCTTGCCAGGCAGGCACTTATCCCCGGCCCAAATAAGTGGGTTTGGGTGCAGTTTGGCACTCATCTTTAAAAGGTTCATCATCACCATACCAGGCAAATGCTAACAAAAAATAAAGCTAGTGTTAAGATATATTAGCATCAAAACATTTTTTGGAAGTGTCAGTATATCATTTACTGGATAACTGTAACAATTTTGAACCTAAATGTAAACTTTAGAATCCCAAAATACCTAAGGTAAAGACGGGCATGAATAAAAAATGCGTAACTGAAAAATGAATGTACAAGATTTTAACACATTTTTCCTTGTAACTTGATTCATCACACAGACCAAAACGAAACAGTAAAATATAAAAGTAACATCAAACTTACTCAGTCTCACTCAAAAGAACACTATATCCAACAACTAGAGAACACATATCTTCTGCCAAGTACCTGAACAATGGTTTTAGTAACTGACTACTGGATCATAAACCTAAATCTCCGTAAGTTTTATAGTGCACATTCTCTGACTATAATGCAATAAAGTTAAAAATCACAAAAATCTAGGTAGCAAAGTTCCATGCTTAGAAATTTAAAGTATTTCCCTAAAACAATAAAAATCTATATACTCTATATATTTCACATCAATATGGATGAATCTCTCATAATGCTAACTGAAACAAGCCACAGATAACCAAAGAAAAGTTTCATTTAATAAATTAAGGACAGTCACTGGTGGTTAACACTATAATGAAATACAACAGAACAATTAACAATTTCAGTCTAAAGGTTATTGCTGGGCAGCCAGGTGACTAGGGCGGAAAGAAGATACACAAGGAGACTCAATGGCTCTATTACTGTTTCATTTCTTCAGCTAGGGGCTAGAGATATAGATGATTTTTTTTTATTTTTTAAACTATGCACAAGTTTTAAATCATTTTAGATAATAAACATACAATTAAAAACAAAAAAACAAGAGGGAAAAATAACTAGATGTAACTGTCACAGAAAAGTTAAAAAGTGAAGGAATGAACAAGCTGCCACCCGTCATTAATATCACTACTTGCCTCCTCGACCAACCAATAAAGGAATCACTCCCCGTGAGTGATTTGAACATTTTTGTCTATGATCTCCCTTATACATTCTCCAAAGATTCAATCTATGATGTCATCTTTCTTGACATTATGCTCACTCCATTTACAAGCGATTTTTATAAACTCTTGTTCTTATCTCCCTACCTTACAAAAAGATAGCATCAAGAAACAGAGGTGAAACACTATGCTTTACCTGCATATCACTTTTGGCAGCTTTTACAGCATCAAAGAGATCACAAGCTGGTATATCTGGCTTTTTCTGGCCATTATGACATACAATTTGGGACCGCTTCTTTGGATGTTTTGCCACCTAGCAAGTGGAAAAAGATCAGGCATATTAAAAAAGGAAAGTGATGTTATACTTATTTTCCTCATTATCACTTATGTAGGTTCAAGCTGCTAATTCCACAGAAGAGTTTACCTATCTCATATCTGATTTTGTATAAATTACTTTTACACTGTAGAAACTTTTCTCTTCTAAAAAGCTCAGACAACATTCCCTTTACTTCTATATCTCAATGTTCTATTATTTTCTCTTCAAAATTTACCTTCCTAATTTTGACCCTTGAAACTTTTTAAGTCTTATTTTTGATTAATCATGTAACCTGAGCCTCTTACGAGTTTCCTTTTGCTGCTTCCCATACCAGGTTCAGAAATAAAAAAAAACTTTGACTCACTGGGGCTGTTCTGTGTGGTCGTTTTGCTCTTCTCTTCTTCACACTGCGTCTCAGGCTGTTTTCAAAGTCACTGCCTTCATCAGCAGACAAAGAGGGACTACCCCTATGAGGGAGTATGGTTCTACTTAAATATAACCACCCTATTTCCTCTATATAAAGATTAACCAATTATAATCCTGTTTTTCTCTAATTGTACCCTACCTCCACGAAAAACATCTAGATTTTAAGAGAGATGAATCTGTAGCAGTAGTTACAGGAAATTAGGGGCAAGTATTAAAGCAAAACTTTCACTTTCTTGAAAGCTATAGAGATGAGTGAAGAACAACACTGTCCTAATAGTCTCCCCAAATAACAGATTCGAATCAATATTCACCAACGGAGAGACTGTTTTCTGTGTGGAGAAAAGTCAGCATCATTCATTCATATGTCACTCATACATAAACAGATCAATATGTACGTGGAATTATAATTCATTCCTTTAAAAACAACCACATTTTAATGATTAAGGTTTATAACACGGATATAATCTGATCCTAAATAGCATTGACAGCAGCAGAAATGATAAGGGAAGCCCAATTAAAAATAAAGAGGTAAAATAAATCTTATAGGAGATTTGGGTGTTTTTTCTGGAAAAAATGAAAACAAAGATATACTACTTTATCTAAAGGATATAACTGCATGTATGTTTAAGTGTGTAGGATTGATAACTATATTACTAAGTTTTTGTTGGATAGTTGAAAAGAACCGTTTGGAGTCTCGCGGTTTGAATGTTCACTTTGTATGCTTTCCTTTTTTTTTTTTTTTTTGTCTTTTTCGTTTTTATCGGTACCAGGGATCGAACTCATGACCACACACTTGCAAGGAAGGCGCTTATGCTGCTGAGCTAAATCCCCAGCCCCTGTATGCTTTACCTTTATAACTTGAACAATTATTTCTAAAAATAAGGCAATATGTAATTTATCAACTAGTGATTTCTGTTTATTTTTTGAAATTATGTATTTTTCTACCCTTTTTGTTTTTTAAGTAAAATTTTAAAAGATACATTATTTTAACTTTCACATAATAAAGTCATAAACCCTAATAGAGACGGATAGATGGACTGTTTTACAAAATTCCAAAAAGCAGAACTACAGGACACCAACTAAAGCGAATATACAATTTGTCAGGTTACACATAAAACATTCTAATTTATTTGTAAATCTTCCACTCTCCAATCACCAACAGCATTTATATATGCTGAACACAGAAACGTGTTCAAGATAGGTTTAGACTTCAAGTTGGATAATGAAAATCACAATGTGCTATTCTTGATATCCACAAGGTGGAGGGAAGTTAAGAAACACTTAGCAGAGCTGGAGCACATTACTATTTTGAACCTTCATAGCCTTTCTGATGTTTTCATACAGTCCAACACATATTGCAACCAGTTAAGTAAAGTGATATAGTGGAAAGCTACTGAAGATACATAAAGCAGCAGCAAAATACAACTTCTCACCAACTTCACTTACCCCTCGGAAGCCAGGTCTGAGTCCTTATCTTCACAAGACATATTGATAGAAGAACTAGAAGACGCTGATAAGGCCCTCTGGGTACCTCCTACAGTTCTTTGTTGTGAAGAGGACACATTACTTGGGGAGGAGGAGCTATGCAGCTGGGAGGAAGACCTTAAAGTAGGCATGCTGATCCAGCTGTGGGAAGAAAATGAGGAGAAGACGCCTGCCCCACTCCTCCCCTCTATCCTTGGTTCCAACCAATCCCTTTATCTTTAAAGGAACTGCTATAGAACTGTTGGGAAGAGAGTAACCAAAAATAAGACAGTTGCCCTAACCTAACCACATCAAAGGATTAAAGACACCATGATTCCCAAGCTTAAGCACAGCCTGTGCAACTCAAGTCTCTTAGAAAGATCCATTCCCAAAACAAACAAAAAAAATTTCCAAGGGGTGAGGATGCAGCTCAGGTGAGAGGCCCTAGGTTCAACCCCAGGAACTGCAAAATAGAACAAATAAAAAAGAAGACGCCACCATCTCAAGGGCTGGAGATACAACTAAATGACAGAGCCGCTTGCCTGGCATGTGTGACGCCCTGGTTTCTACCCCCCTTACCGCTATAATTAAATAAACAAACAGGAAAACACAACATCCCCACCCTCCTCGCAAAGTGGCTAGAAGGTATAGGGCTGCTCCCCAAGCACCCTAAGTAGAGACAGACACAACCCTCTTACAGATTTCAGAAACTGAAGAGAAGCAAGGAGAAAAACACTCGGATGGGAAGCACTTAAGATTTGGGGATGGAGACACCATGTGGCGCGCCCTCGGTATTTCCTGAAGGTAACATATACAGGGAACACTAACTTATTCAATTGTTTACCCATCAGTGTTTCGGGAATACGGTTCTTAGCCTATGTGGCGCAGGCCTCTGAATTACAGACATGGCTGCGGCGGCGGAAGTGGGCGACGGAGGTGGGGGAATGGAGAGGGCGCCTCTACCCCTCTGGGGCCCGAGGGTGAGGGAGAATACAATTCTTCAGTCAAAGGGGAATCTCACTGAGCCCTGAACAGTCTGTTCTAGCTAAGCAACGTTGAGCAAAAGTCACTGCCTGAGGTCTCTCGGGTCCCTGTAATCACCCACCTCCTGCACAGGTGCCTACAGCTTCCGTTTCTGCGGCGGAACAGTCTGGAAAAAGACGGGAAGGCACGAGGTACATTGTGCGCAAGCGCGAGACTATCAGTCGCTCAATTTACATATTCTCGCGAGGCTTGGAAGTGTGCGAGCTCGTGCTCACCACGTTCTTGTCATGAGTCTCCAGATGCCTAGGGCAGCAGCCGCCTAGAGCTGCAGCCAGTCCTCAGGCATGTGGTCTTGTCACTTGAGTGTAGATGCTGGAGCTCCCTGCTTTAATCCTGTGCTACCCTGTCCCTGCTTCTTGTCCCCTAAATTTCCCACTCCTGTGGCCTGGCTTCGACTAGACTAGTAAAAACTTTTAACCTAACTTCTCAACTGCAATAGGCTGGTTTCACCCAGGCCACGCCCTTTGAGCAGAATCGCCACGCCCCTAAGAAAGACCACGCCTCCACTTGGCCACGTCCCGCCCCCCTGCGGAACTTCCCCGCAGCATTGGCTTAATTTTTCCTGTGGTCCCGCCCGTGAGGCCGCTTCTTATTATCATTGGCGGGGCTCCGCCTCAGGCCCAGCCCCCTGTCCTGCTCCGAGCTCCCATTGTTTCCGCAGATGCCGCCTGGTCCAGCAATCGTGCTTGGTGCGGTTTTCTGAGGTCGAGCTCTTTCTTTGGCCGGTACAAGGATCCCGCGGCCAAGAATCAGATACTGGAGTTTGGTCGCCTCTTTTTACTTTTTCGGACCCACTTTGCTGCCCCAGAGAGATTGCAGCTATGTCTGCGCTGCGACCTCTTCTGCTTCTGCTGCTGCCTCTGTATCCCGGTCTTGGACTGGGACCTGGGAGCGAGGCAAAGGTCACCAGGAGTTGTGCAGAGACCCGGCAGGTGCTGGGGGCCCGGGGATATAGTTTAAACCTAATCCCTCCCGCCCTGATCTCAGGTGAGAAGAAAGGAAGACTAGAGAATCTGGGCGGGTGGGGGGGGGCGGTCCTCTGTATCTCACAATAACTCTCTTCCCTTTTACAGTGACCGTTATAATTTTTCATCCCGTAGTATTTCCTCCTGTAACTTCCTTACTGGGATCACAATAAGCCTACTGCTCTCATAATAGCTTTTACTCCACTCCTACTCCAGGAATCCCTTTCTAGTAATTAGCACCCCTACTAAGTGTCTTTCTTCGCAGCCAGATTCTCAGTGCTCTTTGGGGCCCCTGCCATAATAATACTTTCTTGCTAACCAAGTAACCCCATCCTTTCAAACCCCATTCTTCGTTTCACTGGAAGCTGTCCTGCAAATCTCTAGGAGGTATTGGGTGTATGATGTTGGTGAGGGTCACCTGAGGACACCCTGATCACTAATTTGCCCCCGGGGGCAGCCCTCAAATAAGTGATCCCATGACTAATGAGAGTGGACTTGGGATGGGTTGAGGAAACAATAAGGAGGGGGCAGGTGACTATAAGGGTTGCAGACAATAGAGAAAGAGACTAGACAGGTGGGAGAAACAGGCCAGTCCCTAGAAATAGGTGGGAGATGGACAATATTTCTCAATACCCCTTGCCACCATTTCTCCCTGTCTCCCTGTCCAGGCGAGCACCTCCAGATCTGTCCCCAGGAGTACACCTGCTGTTCCAGTGAGACGGAGCAGAAGCTGATCAGGGAGACTGAGGCCACCTTCCGAGGCCTGGTGGAGGACAGTGGCTCCTTCCTGGTTCACACACTGGCTGCCCGGCACAGAAAGTTTAATGGTGAGGACTCAGAGTCGCCAAAGACACTTCACACTTCCTTTCTGTGCTGAAAACCCTAGCAATCTTCTTGTCTCTTTTTCTTCCTCCAATCCTAAGACATTCCACTCCTGCCTAGCCCTGCTTCTCTCCAATCCCCTACCCAGACTCTTTCCAGAATCCTGTACCCCTAATTGCCTATCTGTTAGGTCTCTGAGAGTTGCCCAGTTTCTAATTCACTTGTTTCTTCTCTTCTCATCCCCAACCTCTCCTGCCTCTGCCCTTTCACTGTTGTTCCTTTCTCTGACCTCACCACCTACCCCCACTCCCTGCTTTTGCTAGAATTTTTTCGGGAGATGCTTTCTGTATCCCAGCAATCCTTGGCCCAGCTCTTCTCGCACTCCTATGGTCGCCTGTATTCCCAGCACGCCCTCATCTTCAATGGCCTGTTCTCTCGACTGCGGGACTACTATGAGAAGTCTGGTGAGGGGCTAGATGACACCTTGTCGGATTTCTGGGCACAGCTCCTGGAGAGAGCTTTCCCTCTGCTCCACCCACAGTACAGCTTCCCCCCTGACTTCCTGCTCTGCCTCACGCGCCTCACTTCAACCACTGATGGCTCTCTGCAACCCTTTGGGGACTCACCCCGTCGTCTCCGCCTACAGGTGAGGAGGGCTCACAAGGCCTGAGCTTCAGCCAGTCTGAACTAGTGACCTCTGAACTATGCACCACTCACTTCTAAACCGATGACTATCTTTTGTGCCCCGGTCACCGGCCTACACCTCAGCCATCTCTAACCTGTCTCAAGCATTGGTCACCTGTATGTGACCTAGTGTTCCTTGATGTCCTTTGGCTGGATAACCCCCTTTTCTTTGCCCTAGTTTTATACAAACACGTATCTGCCCTCCCTAGCTGAGCCACTTTTCTATCAACTCCTACCTAATTCTAACATCTTGACATCCTCTGAACAAATAAACATGAATTAGCCATGATAGCTGAAAAACATTTTCACTTGTAGCATCTCATTTGTCTTTAAGATACATGACAGTATTCTTTTATACAGATGAGAAAACTGGGTCTTCCAAAGGTTCAGCTCTTACTGCCAGTACGTGGTAGAGCTGTGCCTCACTCCAGCTCTTCTGGCTTCAAGTTCAGGGTTCTGACCCACAATCTCTCTGTCGCCATGCCCTGTGCAATACAATCCCTACATCAATTCCCAAATCCCAGTCCCCTTGATCCTTCTAGACTATAATTCCTTTGAACCCCTGAACCTGCCTCTTAATCCCACGTGACACTCTGTCCACCCCAAGGTAACCCCACAGCCCTAACCCCCACTATTCATCCCTTAGGTGCAGTCCCTTGGCGCCAGTCTTGACTGACCTATGATAACTTGTGTTTTCTTTTTTCTTTCTTTTTTTCCCCTTCCCCCAGATAACCCGGGCTCTGGTGGCTGCCAAGGCTTTTGTCCAGGGCCTGGAGACTGGAAGAAGTGTGGTCAGTGAAACGCTTAAGGTTAGAAGGGGTCCAGGTGTGGGCAGAGTCCAGGGAGGGAGAGGCAGAAGTGGGAGAAACTTCTTGAGGAAAGACAGGCATCAGCTGGCAGGAGAGACCTGGAGTCTCCCCCATCAGCCTCCAGGCTCAGGCCCCCCAGGGTAAATCAGACAGGAAGGAGGCTGGTGTGAGGTCTCCACTGACCAAGATTTTCCATGATCTCCTGTAACCCCTGACCCTGTCCTGCCCTCTGACTCATACCTCCTCCAGCCTCTGATGGCCTGTTCATCTCCATAGCAGTCTGAGGGAGTGCTGACCTCACTGGGTCCCCTAGGACCTCTCAATGACTCCCACCTTGCTGCTGAAGGCCTGTCTCCACCACTGAACCTTTCCCTGACCTCCCAGCTTTACCTCCTGCCTCCTTACCATCCCTTCCTTCCCTTCCCAACCAGGATGGGCTTTCTTGTCCGTAACCTCTCTTCAGACACCTCCCCCAGTAATACCCCTCCTGTGAAGCAATGTCTGTGACCAGACCCCTAGGAATTTTGCCTATCCACTTCTGGCAGTCAGCAATCCTCCATGCTCACATGGGCCTGGGTACTGTATCTGGTTCTCTTTGTGCCTACCAGCAGGCTTGACCAAGAACAGCCAAGGTGTTTGTGGATGAAACAAACAGCCCAGTTCTCTGCCCCCAGGTGCCTGTGTCTCAAGGCTGCCGGCAGGCTCTGATGCGTCTGACTGGCTGCCCCCTTTGCCGGGGAGTTCCCTCACTTATGCCCTGCCGGGGCTTCTGCCTCAATGTGGCCCATGGCTGTCTCAGCAACAAGGGACTGGAGCCTGACTGGGGCAGCTATCTGGGTGAGGGGGTTCAAGAAAACCTGGGATGAAGGAGGGCCCTCAGCAAGGCTGACGGCTGTGTGGGGAGGGGCCCTGGAGACGGGTCTAGAGCCCAATGGAGAGGTGCATACAGTGTGGGAGGGGGCGTTCCCCCCAACACTGCTGCTTCCTTCTAAATCCCTGGTGAGGATTTGTGGGGACATCCTAGTTCAGTGTAGAACCTCAATCCCTGTTTCTTCTTCCTCCTCCTTCAAGATGGTCTCTTGCTCCTCGCGGAGAAACTCCAGGGGCCCTTTTCCTTTGAGCTGGCTGCCGAGTCCATTGGGGTGAAGATCTCAGAGGGTTTGATGTATTTACAGGAAAACAGTGTAAAGGTGTCAGCCAAGGTATGGGAGAGAAGGGATGTCAGCCTAGCAGAGGGGAGGGAAGGGTGATGAGGCCTGGGCTGGAGGACACTGTGCCGTGTGAGCCCAGGTGTAGGGAGGAACCATAAAGGTGAGGCCCCGGGTGGGGGACAGTTTGGGCATCTGAGGAGAATGTAGGGTGGGAGTGGGTACATTGTGGGTGGCCTGAGCATGACTCTCATGCACTGCTCTCTGCACAGGCGTTTCAGGAATGTGGGACTCCCCACCCGGTGCCAGCCCGCCACCGCCGAGCACCGGCGCCCCGGGAAGAGGCAGCCCGGCCTTGGAGGGCGGCGGCCGAGGAGGAGCGGCCCACGACAGCGGCAGGCACCAACCTGCACCGGCTAGTGTGTAGTGGGCGGGGCGAGGAATGCAGGAGGGTCTGGGTCTGGAGGTCCAGTTGTAGCTCAGCCTGCTGTCTGGCTGTCTGCCGCACAGGTTTGGGAGCTTCGTGAGCGGCTGGGCCGGGTGCGAGGCTTCTGGGCCGGGCTGCCCCTGACTGTGTGTGGGGACTCCCGTATGGCAGCGGACATCTCGCAGGAGGCGGCACCCTGCTGGACTGGCGTTGGGCGAGGCCGGTGAGTGGGTTGGCAGCGGCTGCGGGCAGGGGAGACCTGGCAGGTGGCCGGAGGCTTTGGAATGTTGTGCTCGCAGGTATTTGTCACCAGTTGTCGGGGCCTCCCCGACTGAGCAGCTCCACAACCCCGAGCTGGATGTGGATGCCTCGGGCCCCGACGTCCTCACGCGCCGCCGTCGGCTGCAGCTCCGCGCTGCCACTGCCAGGATGAGGGCTGCTGCGCTGGGCCAGGACCTGGACATGCGGGATGCAGGTGAGCCCCGCCCACTGCAGCGTGAGCCCCGCCCATCCCCATCCCCAGAGAGCTCCGCCCACTGCCGCGAGAGTCCCGCCCACTACTCCCCCTTCCTTTGAGGGCTCCGCCCACTGCCCAATAAGCGCCACCTACTGCCCCACGAGGTTTCCCCTGTATCCATGAGCCCCACCTTCTGTTCTGTGAGCCCCACCTCCCACTACGTGGTCCCACCTTCCCGCTCCCCTCCCAGGTTTCTTAGATTTATTCATTCTCCTCCATTTAAGCCTTTGCTCTGCCCCTGACTCAAAGGTAGAAGTAAATGACCAACAAATGAGTGGATCTGTATCCTAGTGTGCGTGGTGCAGCGGGAAACAGACACAGAAAAGTGGAGAACCTTCTTATAAAGAGCAAAGTGTGGCAGAAGTGGGGGGGGGAGTTGGGAAAGCTGGTGGGGTGACAATGGGGTGGAATTCTCTACGCCTTTGTCTCTTCTCCCCTCCCTTCCTGTCTGCTCTGGCTTCTGTGTACTTGTTTTCTTTCGTGTTTATCCTCTCTCCCCATCTGTCTCTTCTTACTTCTAATTGTCTCTTTTCCTGTCTCCCAAGCCTTTTCTCATCCCATCTGCTGTCTGATTTTGCTTTCTCTCTCCCTGCCTATCTCTTCTTCTTTTACCTGTGTCTCCCTGCCCCTTCTTTCTGTTTCTAACACTCTCTCCTTCTCTCTGTTTCTCCCCACTCCCCACTTTTTCACCCTGTCTCTATTCTTCCTTGCAGATGAGGATGGCAGTGGTTCTGGAGCGGGACAGCAGTACGCAGACGACTGGAAGGCCGGGACTGCACCGGTGGCCCCCCCAGTCCGCCCTGCAAGGCCCCCTCGCCCTCCACGCAGGGAAGGTTCTGGCGGCAAAGGAGGAGGTGGCAGTGCTCGCTACAACCAGGGCAGGAGCAGGAGTGGGGTGACATCTGTTGCCCTTCACACCCCGCCTATCTTCATTCTCTTCTCTTCAGCCCTCTCTGTGCTTGGACCTCGATAACATGGGAAGGGAGCCCTAGCATCAGAAGGAGTGACAGCCCTTCACTGCCTCCCGCTCCAGCTGGGCCTGGGGCCGGAGGAGTTGAAGGGGCTGGAGAGCAGGTGGAAAAGGGACTTTGCAGGTGAATGGCTGGGGCCCCAAATCCAGGAGATTCCCATCCGTGGGTTGGTGGGGGGTGTTCACAATATTTATTTTTTCATTTGGTAACGGGGTTGGGAGGTACTGGGGTATTTATTTTAGGAAGGAAGGAAGTGTGGTTTTAGTCCTCCAGGGTTGAGCACTGTTCATCAGCTCCAATAAGGGGAAAGTGGGGGGGGGGGACTTTAGAGTTGCCATCTAGAAATGGGCTGAAGTAAGTTGGAATTGGGGAGGGGTAGAACTCTAATGGGGTGGGGCACCCCGTCTCAGAAATGGACAGAGCTAGGTGCTAATGGGGTACAGGGCAGGGGCTGGGAGTGTGTGAGTAGGCTGTGTGACCCAATGGGCCTGGGTTCTGTTGAGTTTTTTCATAATCAATTTTTAAAAAGGGGGCTTAGCTTATGACCTCTGCCATCCACATCCTTCACAAGCTGCCATCCATGTGTCAGTGTTTGAGTCAGTGTTTATTCATAAATAAATGTTAATTTATTGGACCCTGTGTATGGTTTTCTGTGTCTTCATCATCCCTCCTAAGTCCTGGCCCTTAGTAGAGGCCCCAGGGCATCTGTGATTGGCTCAGTTTCTGCCTGCTTCTTCCCTTTTCTGGACCTTTTCTCCCTGGAAACAGGCCAGAAGGAGTGACCTCTGGTCTCCAGGTTACCCACAAGGGCTGAACAAGTTCCTCCATAAAATACAGAGCATTGTGGAAATGGAACAGGAACTGCATGAAGAAGCACCTTGTCACCTGCAAAATTCTCTTTAAACACAAGGCAGGCGTTTTCCATGTCATCAGGGCACTGTGCCTGCCTTCAGGGTGGCAGTTCTTGTCCTCTGGGTGTCGACCCCTGGCTACCCTGACAATGTTTGCTTTCAGCCTCTCTCTCTCCCCTTTTCCTTTTCCTTTGCTTTCTTCCTTGCTCTGAATGACTCTTTTGTTCTGTAGAAAGCTGAGAGGAAAAGGTATAATTCATTCCTAAGTGAAAGGAGAGTGGAAATGGGGTCCTCCAAGGGCAGGCCAGACACCCCAATGAGAATGAAAGATGCAGGAGGGAGAGACCCAGAGATGCGATCAAAGCCGAAGCAGCTGCTTGGACTGGAGGGACAAAGGGAGGGGAGGGGAGGAGCCTGGGTGCTGAGAAAGTTTGTGGAGAAAGTTGAGCTGAGCTGAGCTGAGCTGAGCTGAGGGTGGTGGCTGAGAAAGGCGGAGGGCCTGACCTGATTTTCCTGCTGTGCTCCCCTTGTGGCCTGGTGAGTGGGTAAGGACAGATGAAACTGGGCTGGTGGAGGGACCCTTGAATTTATGGGAGGAGCCTTGAGGGATTCACAGGACCCCAGAGGAGGTCAACAAAGGGCTGGCGACAGACTGAGCAGTCTCCAAAGCTGAAGTGAACAGAGGGGTTATAGAAAGAGATAAAGATGAATGAGAGGAGATGAAGAATTCAGGAGAGTTGCAGCTGGATCCTGGGGGCTGTGCTGTGGGAAGAAATTGGGGGCGATGCCAGCGGGGTGAGTCCCTGGGTAGCCAGTGTGACTTCTGGCTGCCTGGGGTCAGCCCTGACTCATTCAAGAAGAGGGCTGTCCAGGCTTGTTGGAGGGGCAGCAGTCCTTGATTGCTGGTTGTATTCTGAAGAGGTGGAGCCAGACTCCAAGCTCATTAAGGGTATCAGGCCTAGGAAAGAACGCCAAATCTTGGTGTCCATGGGTTTTTCCATATCTGTTCCCTGGGACTCAGTCCCTGCTCTCCCTGGGCTGTGTCACCCTCCCTCTCCTTGCCCCCCTGCAGCGCCACCCTCTGAATCCCCTCCACTGCACTGATGGTCTTGGGAAGTGGGACGGGGCTGTGTCCAGGGAACTGGCTCCATCTCCCTCATCTCCTCCAGCCCCTCTCACACTGAGGTTTAGACATGCAGCCGCTTGTGCTCATTACAAAGTCACTCCTATAAGTTCCGATCTCCCTTCCTCCTGCCTGCTTCCCCAACCTCTTCCTGTCTGACCCTCATTCCATGCTTGTAGCTTCCCCCTGGTCACAGAAGGGGATTCTTGAACTCCATTTGTGGCAGACAGTGGGGCTCAGGAGGAAGCCAGTGAGCTGGCAGTGTCCTGACCTGATTGTCATCAGCCCACGGGTCTGGTCTCTCTCGGTGGCTGTTTCATTCACAGTAGGGTGGGGACTGAACATCAGAGAGAATTGAAGGGAGCTGGAGATCAGCCCGATACTGATAGCAGGAGGAGTAGTCGTGGGGCCACCTACAAGGGCCGGGTGTGGAGAGCACCCTTTAGGGCTCCCCCTTCCCGAATTAGGTCTCAGCTATAACAGGAGAAAAGGTTCTACCTCTCTCCTTAGACTCCCCTCCTTCCCCCTCATTTCCCTTCTAGACGCTGACAGAGGCAAAAATCTGCTAACTCAGGGGCAGACTCAACCAGGGCTCCGAAGAGGCCTGGGGAATGACCCCCCATCTCCAAACGCGCCTTCCACGGCTGTGCGGCTGTCTCAAGCTGTCTCTGCCTCTGTTCTTGGCCCTGGCTCTGTCTCTGTCTAGTGTCCCCCTTCCCTGTGCCACATGGGCCCTCTGTCTCCTGCCAGAACCAAGCGGCTGTGGGGGCCTCGGAGCCTAGGGGTGGCTCTGGGAGTCTTCATGACCATCGGATTTGGCCTCCAGCTCTGGGGGGGGCCCTTCCAGAGGAGGTGAGTTCCATCTTGTCCCATCTCCTGATAGATGCTTCTCCAGTGGCTTCTCCTTATCCCTCCCGGGGCTGTTACTCTTGGGGACTCAGAGGAGCTGGTATGCCCGTTGTCCTTTCTTCATTAAGAAGCCACTTGCTCCCCTTGCTGCTGAGGGACAGGCCTCCTCCCCTCTGTCTCTTCCTAGGCTCCAGAGGCTGCAGCTCCGACAACCCTGGGTTTCATCCCTGGGACCAGCGGCTTCGTCTTGCCTACCCCAGCAGCGACTCGTGTTCCTGAAGACGCATAAATCTGGGAGCAGCTCTGTGCTGAACCTGCTTCATCGCTACGGGGACCGGCACGGGCTGCGCTTTGCTCTCCCTGCCCGCTACCAGTTTGGCTACCCAAGGCTTTTCCAGGCTTCTCGAGTCAAAGGCTACCGTCCCCAGGGTGGGGGCACCCAGCCCCCCTTCCACATCCTCTGTCACCATATGAGATTCAACCTGAAAGAGGTGAGACACTGGCATAGGGTGGGGCTGGAAAGAGATGGGCTCAGGCTTGTGGCTCAGACCACCGAAGGAGTGTTCCCCCACACCACGTCACCCACGAATTGCTCATGGAGGCCACAAAGGTGGGGTATTTTTATTGCTGTCTCTATAGGTGTCCCTTCCCCCAGGGTTGCCTGGGAGCCTCCTAACTGAGGTTTCTGGGGACCTCTTTTCTGTTTAGGGTTTCTGGGGCTCCTCCTTCTTCCATCTAGGGTTTACCCTAAACTACATTTTTTTTCAATACTAGGGAATGAATCTAGGGTTCTCTACTGAGCTACATCCATGACCCTTTTCTATTTTGAGGCAAGGACTCCCTAAGTTTTTAAATTGCCTAGCTGGCTTGAACTTGTGCGCCTACTCTGTCACCCCTCAGATTTCTAGGGTTACAGGTGTTCACCTCCACACCTGGCAGATGCCACATCCTGAGACTTCCTGTCAGCTCTGTGTCAAGCCTAGGCAGAGTACAGTGGAGCAGTCAGTTGAAGGCCCACTTCTGGCCCTCAGGAGCCTCGGTAATTAAGAGAGAGACAAGCACACATGCTCAAGTGTTCAAATGGATACACCAGGCACCTGAGAGTTCGTGTAGGAAGGCAATCAATGAGCAAATAAAAATTTACAGGACAACACAACTTTTTTGCATAATTACCATCCCTTTGCCAGGAAAGCAGTGTCAATGTGTCCATTATACAGATGTGGAGATGAAGTCTCAGGGAAGCTAGATGACTGGCTTCTTCAGTTTGGTGTAATGGTACACAATCTATAATCTCAGCACTCTGGGAGGCTGAGGCAGGAGGATCACAGGTTCAAGCCAGGGCAAGTTAGCAATTTAGAGAGACAGTCTCAAAATGAAAAATAAAAATTAAAATAAATAAAAATTAAAAAGGGGCTGAGAATATTCCTCAGTGTGAAAGCCCTGGGTCCAATCCCAAGTACTGTCAAAACAAAAGCAGAAAATTGGCAAGGCTAGGCTATGAACTCAGGTCCATTTACTCCAAACTCAGGACTTCTTCTGTGCACATGTATATGTTTTTGCATTTGGAACTGTGGAGAAAGTAGTCATCTACTCTCTCTACTGGGGAGAAAGTAGGGCTTTGCAGTAAGTGCAGAATCCGGTATTTTTAAAGGGAACAAAGCATCAGCAAAGACCAGTGGTGCGTGTTCGTGCATGCACACATCTGTGTGTCAGAAGGGGAGTGTGCAGCATAGGTAGCTGACAGAGCTTCAGCGGGGGTGGCAAAGACACTTGTTGGAGCTGGAGCTGGAGCTGATGAGGCTTCTGAGGGTGATCTATGGCAGCAGGGTCACTGTTAGGAGAGAGGTGATGACAGGGGTCTTGAGGTCAGCTTCTTCTGCGGGCTTGGATGATGACTTTCCTGCTTGCCACCATTGGCTGAACTCCTGTCATGTTCCAGGCTCTTCCACATTCGTTCAGATAAGGGTTTAACCAGATTTACGGGTGGGTAAATTAAGATTCTGAGAGCTTCAATAATCTGCCCAGTCACATAACAAAATGTTTACATTTTAAGAAATTATTACAGTAAAACATACATTGCCATGAATCTTGCTCAGAATCCTTCCCCTCCCTTCAAACACACTGGTGCTTTCCTTCTTGCCACCCTGTGAAATACTAGAAGTCCTCTTTTTGTGTCCTTATGAGGTATAATAAAAAATGTGGTTTCCAGCACTTGGGAGGCTGAAGAAGGAGGAATGCTGTGAGTTTGAGACCAGCCTGGGCTACAACGTGAGCCCAAAGGCAGCCTGAACTGTGTAGCAAGATCTTGTCTCAAAAAGGCAATTAATTAAATAATTAATTAAAAATGTGGTGAACTCTGTGGCCAAGCGCCATCCAATGGAAAGGCAGGCTCATAAAAATGTTAAGGTGTGGCTTCATCTACCTGATTTGCCGGAGCTGGCACCACGCAATCCTAGCTCTTTCCCAAAGTCGAAATGACCATAAAAAGGTAGATGTTTTGAATCAATTCAGCACCTTGAGTAGCCATGACAGCACAGCTAAAACATTCACAAAAGAAGACTTCCAGAGCTGCTTCAGCAAGAATGATGGGATAAGTGTGTCCAAAGCAACAGGGTGTATTTGGGAGAGGAGGATACACGGCAATATACATCTTACTGTAATAAATTTTCTTGAATTTGAAGAGTCACTGTATTTTTAATCATATCTCATAAATAGGATTAGGCTTTTATTCCAGGTCCATCTGATGCCAAAAGCTATTCTCTTCACAGTTTCCTTTGAAAGAGAATTCAAAGGCTCTGCCCTTCAAGCATG